ATATGTGAACTGCTGTATGAAAAGTGAATTTACTCTGTAAATCTTCACCCAAATCAAAATAAAATTTAAAAAATAAATAAATAAATAAATAGATAAATAAAAAGAAATGTTAGTCTCTCTTCTAGCCTCTGAAAGGGGATTTTTAGCACAAAAATTAGATCAAGGAGTTTCTATCATTTCTTCAATTTTTTAAGTTGGAAAGAATGAAACATTCATTTTAAAAAGTGAGGGGTGACTTAACGCTACCAAATTGTACACTCAAATATGGTTAAAACGGCAAATTTCGTGTTATACGTATTTTACCACAATTGAAAAAAAAGAAAGGACTTTAAAGTGAAATAAAAAGTGAGGGAATGAAATACTGCAGTTAGATAAACACAGGTAAAGCAATGCTGACATCTTATAAATAAGAAAGCTTTAAGTCAGACTTTAGTTATCTCTCTAATCTGGGAGCCAGAGCTGATAATTTAATTCAAATATTTAAGTCCTCAGAAAGGGCAAGGCTTTCTGAATAATGTATGAGTTAATTCCACAGAGTGCTAATTCAGCTAAGAAACCCAGATTATACTTTCTACTCTAGCTTTAGCAAAGCAAACTTCCTCCATCTGTCTTGGCTCCAGCCCAACACAATTTTTAACTGGTTATTTATTGGAATGTCCAGTTAAGTAGTAATTTCTGTCCCTCATCCCCAACATTTTTCCAACACAGCTTAGAAGAGACCTTTTAAATTTCTTTAAGTTATATAAAGAAAAGGCTTACCCTGAGAAGTTTTTCAATTTTATTCAGTAGTGTAGGTATAAGATGAGACTGCAAATTTCCAAGTTCTGTTGTCCAAGCAGCATAAGCTGGTAGAAATACTTGATGTGTTGCACTAACCACTCTTTCTGAGGGATCACCCAAGGCCGAGAGCAACAACTCAAAACCCTGCCAACAGGAAACAGGGAAAATGTGCGTTTCTAAAAGAATGAACTTTTAAAAAGCGTAATAATAAATAATAAATATACAATGCAGTAAACTCAGAAAATGATCCTAAGCAAGAAAGCAAGCCACCCATAATCCTACCCTTCCTAGTTTCTTTAAAGAAAATGTTGCACGTCCACTGATGAACAGACCAAAATGGAGCACTAAATTTGGCACGTGTGTTGTGTTGGACAGCTCGGATCCACAGGGTTTTCACGAGCTGACTTTCTGAAGTAGATGACCAAGGCTTTCTTCTCGTCTGACTCCATTTGGAAGCTCAGTTGAAACCTGTTCAGCATCGTAACAACAAACAAGCCTCCGTGGACAGACAGCTGGTGGCTACACAGGAGGTGTATTATCAGGGAAGTGATCCCAGGGCTACTGCACAGAAGGTGAGAATTCTACAACTGAATCATCAGTGCCTCCAATAAACATGGCAAGCTTGCTGCCAATTTTCACATGGCTGTGGCAGATATTGTAAATGAATCATAACACTCTTTTCTCTGACTCTGAAGAACTGAACCCAGGAAGGCAATTCCAACTGATGAAAGTTGGCATACCTGCCATCCCTACAGATTTAAGTGTCTGAATCTGAGATTGGGAGCAAGCAATAAAAAGGGTTGAAGGTGAAAAACGTACCTGTTGATATTTGTCTGGATCATCAATGTATCCCATGATGACACCAAGGCTTTTGATTACAGCTTCCCGAACCAAATCGGCTTTATCTTCTGTTAGCATCTGCTGCAGCATTGAAAGAACCAAGGAGCTACGAATTTCTTTCTGAAAATAACAAGAACATGCTTTATCATTTACTTATAGTACCAACAGAAAAGTACAGAAAATGACACTCCTGAAATCCTAATCCAGACTAAAAACATTACCATTCTGCTGTATTTACTTCAAGTCTTCATTTTTCAAAAGAATGTAACGTTACATACATAGTTAACATAGCAGTCTTCTTTAAGCCCCTTCCCATATCCTCTCTTCAAATATAACAACATCTACCATGAACCTGGCATTAATCTCCTAGTTTATTTACTTTTTACCTTTACTGTGGTGGAAACATACACAACAAGACATTCACCAACATAAGAATTTCCTCATTTATAGGTCAGGAATACTGGTAACATTTTTCATGTTATGCCACCATTACTGCTATCCTTTCCCACCATTAATATTAGAAATGCTTCACCACCACTAGAATAAACTCAATGCCTTGCAAAATAATGCTTTCCATTTCCCCCTCGCTCCTACTGCTGGTAACCACTAGTAATCTTTGAGATTATATTTATTTATATATACATACACACACACACACATAAATATAAAACAAGCAAAGTTTCCTTTTATATATGAACTAAAAAATGCCCTGAAAAAACATTTCTCAAAAGATCTTAAAAGCTCATTTTGTGAGATAGCAGTACATACAATAAGACAGAGATAAAACAGCTTCAGATGGGTATTTGCCATGGCTTCAAACTAATTTTTCCTGGTTCAGTCATGACTAATGATGTAAAACTGGAACAGACCTGAATTTATAAGGAACAATAACTAGAATGGGACAAATTATGGATCAGCACTGTTAGAAACTTAATCTCTATCTTACAAAACAGTCTCTGGATAAGCAGGGTTGGAAATAGTGCCCTACTCAAAGATGGCAGCCAACTGCACTGCTTTGAACGTGTGTTGCTCTCCACAGTCCTGTCAATAACCCAGTGTCCTTCGTCAGGCTCCTGAAAGGCCTCAGTAATCCTCTTCTGAGTCTCCCGTTCCAAGCCTTCGACTCGTAATATTTTTCATCCTGATTATCATCTCATTGCCCCCGAATTAAAAAAATTTGGGTCTGTTCTGATTTTGCTTCATCAGTCATGACTGAACTGGTTTGAAGCCCTGTCATTTGGTGCATACCGATGTGGACTGAAATCAACTGTGGTAACGAGTCTAAGTAGCCACCAGGACCCCACAGAAACAGTCAGGAGGCAGTCAGTGCTCCACCACAACGAAGCACTGCAGAAGTTCTCAGATTTTACTGCTACCAGTCATAGTGCGGTACAAGGCAAGTGGTGATCCAACATGGAAACGTTATTATTATTGTTATACTAATTATTATTAATACTGGTTAGTATTCTAAGAGCAATATGGAACAGTTTACTTATCCTTTGAGAGTGATGCTCACTACTCTCTTGGAACAGTAAGTAAAAGGACACTCTAACACACGTATGTGAAATTTATCACAAGACACTTCAAGTAATTTGATCATGCCTAGTTTCTGGTGAAGATATAAAAAAATAAGCACTCTGATATATATATATGTATACATATATATACACACACACACACACATATGTATATATATGTTCTACTTTTTACCATGATTTGGGTGAAAGTTTATTACACTCATATTTTTGATATAAGTATAAATCTATGCTGTATTGTTTGGAGTCAATTATCACTGTCAAAAAATAAATAAATAAATATGGAAAGAAGCAAGATGTAAAGATATTAATAGTGAGAAATTTTTTAAAAATGCACAAGAACCTATCAAAAGTATTTACTTTCAGGCACTGGTACTGAAATATAGAACAATGTATATAGTATAAGTAATTTGGGATAAGATTTAGGAGCTCTGGTAGCATAGTGCTAACCAGAAGGCTGGCAGTTCAAACCCACCAGCCACTACTTCCATGGTGATACCGCCTTGGAAACCCAAGGAGGGGTTGCTATGAGTCGGTCCAACTCCATGGCACATAACAACAACAACAACAAGGAAATACAAGCTGATATATAAGTAAATTTTGTTTTTCTGGAAAGATTAATGACAAGCTATTAACAGAAGATACCCTTGGAAAGACTGATTAGGGACTATGGGCAGAAAAGGGAAAAGAAAAGAAGTTTTTGATTTTCATTTTATTATCTTCTGTACTACAGTAACATTTATTTTAAACAAGACTGAAAAAAATAATAATTGTTATTAGGAATTGGGACTACGCATTATTCTTTTTTCATTTTTATTTTTTTTCAAACTAGAAAACCCATTTCTTAATTTTGAAAAGAGGAGCTCTGGTAGCGTAGTGCCTAAGGCACTTGACTGCTAACCAGGAAGCTGGAAGTTTAAACCCACCAGCCACTCCTTGGAAGGAAGGTTGGGCAATCCTACTTCCGTAGTGATACTGTCTCAGAAACCCAAGGAGGGGTCGCTATGAGTTGGGTCTTACTCGATGGCACACAACAACAATTTTGAAAAGGAGAATCATTTTACTAATGATTTCTCACTCTTCACAAAAAAATAAGTTAATAGCAAATACAACTCTGTTTTGCACATTTTCTTTTAACGCCCTTTTATAAAATGAGCTTTTATGGCAAGGGTTGGGAAACTCTAAAGGGCTATGGCTCAGCTTTTGGAGCCAGAGTCTCTACTACAACTACATTGCTGTTGCAGTGAAAAAGCAACCACAGAAAATACATAAACAAATGGGCATGGCTGCATTCCGATAAAACTTTATTTATAAAAATCACATGGTAGGCTGGATGGGTCCCCAGGCTGCACTTTGCTAAGCTCTGCTTTATAGTGAGGGGGAAAAAAAAACAACAACCCACTGCCACTGAGTCGATTCCCATCGCAACTCTATAGGACAGAATAGAACTGCCCTATACAGTTTCCGGTAGCATAGTGGCTAAAGCACTTGACTGCTAACCAGAAGGCTGGCGGTTCAAACCCACCAGCCACTCCTCAGAAGGAAGGTTGGGCAATCCTACTTCCGTAGTGATACTGCCTTGGAAACCCAAGGAGGGGTCGCTATGAGTCGGGGTCGACTCGACGGCACATAACAACAACAACAACATACAGTTTCCAAAGCTGGAAATCTTTATGGAAGCAGACTGCCTCATCTTTTTTCCATGAAGTGGCTGGCAGGTCTGAACTGCTGACCTTTGGGTTAGCAGTTCAATGCTTTAACCACAGTTTCCTGAGAGTTCCTTCCTTTAAAACTAAGGCTCTTTAAACTACAGTAACTGTAATGCCACTTCATTCCCTCCATTCTTCCTAAGCCCTGGATCTATGAGAAGATTCTTCAGGAGACTCCTAGCCCAGTGGTTCAGCCTTGTTGATGTCAACACTCTCTTATTGTTTTAAAAATCACTGAGCACCTCAAACACCTTCTATTAGGGTGGGTAATACCTATTGACATTCACCATCTTAGAAATTAAAAACTAAGAAATTTTTAAAACATTGCCAATTATCTTAGAAATAACAATAAACTCATTAAATGTGAACACAAATAACATTTTTTTTTAATGAAAAATAACTATTTTTCAAAGAAATGCCAATGAAAATGAATTTGTTTTTCTATTTTTTGGCAAATCTTTATAATATCAGACTTAGAAAAACACAAGTGGATTCTCTTATCTGCTCTGGATCCAATTTTTGTGACACATTGTTTTGGTTGAAATATTTAATGAAAAGCTGCACTCATGGAAGACACATAGTTGGAAAAGGGAAGAATATTTTAGGAACCTTTTCCAATCAGACTGGATATTTTCCTTTGATTGGACACCAAAACTATGTAAGGAGTAGTTTCTTAAAGGTTAGTTGCGATGTGGAATTTGAAACCAAGACATAGCATATTGAAACTGAACTTTTCAAACTCTGATGCATTAAATTCTATTGTCTATTTTGCACTTTGAATGTCTTACCTCACATATGCATGATTTTCAACATCATGAACTGGTCATTTGGGAAATATTAGACCAGAGTTATGTAGATGTTCCTCACTATGACACATTTCATTATAGAATATTTAAAATCATATTCATTAGTATCAGCATTGATCTCATCAAAAAAGTCTTTCCATACTTAGCTGTCAAACTCATGGTGATGGAAATGAGTTTTCCAAACCTCTGGTTCTCACTTACAAGCTCTAATTTGATCACTGGCAAGAAACACTGTCTACTTGTTTTCCTTGAAGTGACAGGCTTACTTCATTCATTTTCATGAAAATGTCTGCAAAATCCCAAAGTCTTAATAGTTTCTTTTCAGTTGTTCTTCCAAGGAAAATGGGTATCCCATGTAAAAAAGTGGCTAGCTCAGCTCACAGTTAACAATTGCAAAGTGCTTTTCCTGGAGACAACCATCAAACTTCAGTATGAAGCAAATGGGCTTTACATTAGTACTTTCAATTTTGTTACACGGAATACTAAAAAGACACAGACTCAAGGGTCAAGTTGTAATAAAACTAGTAATTACTGGCACACCAAGGTCATTTTTAAGCGAAACTGGCCCTTTCTTTTTCTACAAGAGCACACAGTGAAGAACACAATCACTATTAGTACAGCTGGGTGCCACTACCTTGGTTTGTGTTAAAGCCACAGCAGTTCTGACCCTCACTGCTTTTGTACCAATAGTGCACATGTCAATGCAATGAAAAAAGACAAAATGTCTTATGAGGAAGAACACTGTTTTTACCTCATAGATCCCCTTGAAAGGATTTCAGACACCCTCTGAGGGTCTGCAGGTACATACTTTGAGAATGGCTGATACAGTTTAATATACTCATGCAAAATCAATGGTAATATACCTATCTGTATGCAATGCCATATTGCACCAAGGGTCCTATCTTCTGTAATGTGAGCCTTTTCTTTTTGGCTCATCTTTTTCCTTTATTAGGACAGCATGGCCTAGGAGAATTTGGATTAAAATGCACAAGACACTTAAAAAATGTTTTCCGTATTATCCAAAAATTTTTTTAAAAAAATTTTTTAAGGAAAAAAAGACAACTCTTACAGGAAGGTAAGGTGCTAATGCTCCACACGATTCAGCCACCAATAGTCGTCTTTCTGGATACTTGTGATTAATCTACAGTAAAAAAGAAACAATCAAGTATAAACAACATAGTGTCCTTGCCTCCAAAATTACTTTTCACCATAAATCCTGTTAAAAATATAACAAAGTGTCTTCCTTTTCCATTTCTGGGAATCCCCATGTGGCTATACCTGGACCAGGAATAAGGGAATCAGGGAGAGTCTAAAAATTCAGTCCTAGGGGTCATGTGTTAAAGGAAAAACAAAGATGACAATTTGGTAAGGTGCCTAGAGATTATGGGCTTGCTTAAGATGAGGCTTCATTTGGGTGTCAGGGGAAAGTCAGGATCCTTCCCTACCAGTATTAGTATATGTATATTTTTTGTTTGGAAAACCCAGCATCTAGGTATTATTGATACACTTTGTAATATGTACCAAGAATGACTCACCAGGTCCGTTTTTTTACCTAAGGGATTAAGCAGCAGCAAATCAATCAGTGATTTAACCAGAGCCCTGACTAGTGCTGGGTTTTGTTTTTGGAGGAAGCCGACTTCAATCTCTTCCTCTGCGGGCATATGCGCAATGATGAGTGGCTGCTGTTGTGATGACTACACTGCACTACAACAAAAACAACGAAAAATGACACATACTGGGTTTTGTTCCCATATGTCTTCTTCTTAGAATATAAATCTTTCTTTGACTGGAAAAGAAGTCTATTGGTTCTCATATTCCCATATGAAATGGTGACATAATTCATTAATGTATTGGGTGCCTAAAATTAAGAAAAGAAATTATATAATAATCTACTGGGCAACAAACTGGAGGCAGGCGGCTAGACAGTTCTCCAATATCTATGTCGATTCAGGTTAGTACAGAAGCGGTGGTAGTGGAGATGTTCATAAATGGTATCTCGGAATTAAATTTAATCCAGAAGTGGTTACCTCAAAGGCAGAATGGTCTGAATACCAAAGTATGCTGGACATAAACTTTCTTTTTGCCTTTCTTTAGTTTAGCTCAGTGAATCTCAAAACTAAATTTACACGTAAAACTCAACTGTATCTGTATATATCAGTAATGAACAAACTGAAAATCAAATTAAGAAAATAATTCTATTTATAATAGTATCAAAAAGAATAAAATACTTAGGAATAAATTTAACAAAATTACTGCAGAACTTATATAATGTTGAAATAAGTTAAGGACAATGTAAAGACGTCCTAATTATGGATCAGAAGACTTACTATAGTTAAAATGAAATGCTCCCCAAATTGGAATACAGATTCAATGCAATCCTTACAAAAATCCCAGCTGGTTTCTTTGCAGAAACTGACATGTTGATCCTAAAATTTATATGGAAATCCCAGGGACACAGAATAGCCAAAACAATCTTGAGAAAAAAGAACTAAGTTGGAAGGATTGGAGTTTCTTTTTGGGTGGTGAAAATGTTCAAAATATTGTGATGATTTTAGCTCAATATTTTTTTTTTTTAAAAGAAGAAAATGGAAAAAGAACTATTAGAAAAATCAAATATACACAAGAGTAACCACACAGAGTTGCAAACTCAAAGTTGTGTATGTCACAGTGAAGTTAGTTTTGACTTTGAATGGCTGTAGACTCTTACTTTAAATTACACTGCAATTTATAAATGATGTTATGGATTTTCAAAGGCAATTATGACTAATATAATGTTCACTTTATATACTGAATCTAGATATGAGTCCAGAATATTTTAATGAAAATATAAACACCCAAAGAAATTGGAAACAAGCTCCAAAAGACCATATATTTTAGTGACATTCAGAGCCCAATTTTTTCGTTAAGAATCAGGACTGTGTATTATAAATAAGGCCATGATACTATCTCCCTCAGTAGAAAACCTATCTTTCAAAGACGGATAGCTTCATGACCCAACCATCAAGCCTAGAAGGCCAATGATTCTGAGTTCTTCAAAGAATTTGAAATATTAAAGTTCAATATAAAAAACTATTGTCAGTAAAAATGTGACTTCAATTATAAAAACTTTCTGCATCAAAGGTTTATACATTTTATACTCTATCTATTTATAATACACATAAGAAACAATTTTATTTACCTATCCAAATACACACACATTTTTATTTAACACACTTATACCTCAGGGCTTTTGTATGTGCTGGACCTCACTTCATTCAAGTCTCTGCTCCACTGACACCTACTCAGATAGCCCTTCTCTGACTACCCTTTTCTAAAACAATATCTTCCCTTACCCTGCTTTGTTTTTCTTCATAGTATATATAACTTACTGTGAGATGTCCTGTCATTTACTTGTTCACTTTTATCTCCACAATAGAGTATCTCTGTCTTTTGTTCACCTTTGTATCCTTAGTGTCTATAGTGATACCTGCACTAGAACTAGTGCTTCTTAAGTATTTGCCGAATGAATGGATAAAGCAAAGAATCTTAGGGCACTATAATACCACTGTGGTGGGTTCAAGAGACAGCAGCATAATCAATGTCCCACATAAGTCCTAATGCCATTTGACGGAATATTTAACACAGAATTTACATACCTAATCACCTAAGTTTAAATTAAATGTAAGAGAAATAAATCTAGAAAGTCATCAGAACTCAAAAATACTTTTAAAAACATTGAAAATAAAAGAGTTAGGAAAAACCCAATACAGTTATTTACCTGCTCCCAACACTGTGGTAAAAGCTCAGCTTCTACACGTGTGGGTCCAACATGACGTGCAAATGCCACGCAACCCGTCAGTATCATTTGCCTGGAAAAATAAGACAAATAAAAAGAAGACTTGTATTTGCTTTATTAAGTACAGTTAGGACTGAAGGTTAAAAAGAGATAGCTTTGTAATACCTGTAAAGCTCAGTAATTTTCTACAATCGTATTAGACCTTGCTAACAATGGATTAAGGTGCCACCAAGAAAGTAAGTTCCTTCAGACTAGCTATTCCAGTAGCTGGCAACATCTTCTGTAAGAGATGCTGGGAAGGAACTTGTGTACTGGTATGAAGCTGAATCTTGTAAGCTCCTAATTACCCTCCATACATGTACTCTGACATTATGGCATGTTCAATCCTTCAGTTCCTAGTGAACTTCAGTTTCTAGACACTGAAACAATTACTATTTCCCCAGAGTTTCTAGATTGACAAACTGTGGTATCATATTAGTAGTGAAATGCATTTCTTGTATCAGTTTTTGGTGTTATACCTACAATAACTGTGGTAGGCAGCTTCTGACATGGTGCCCAGTGATCTCCATCCTTTAACATTCATTGCTTTGTGCAATCACATCCCTTTAAGTGTGAGTTGGATCTAATTACTTCTTTCTCATGAACTCAATAACGACCAAAGTGATGGGATGCCACTTCCGAGATTAGGTTACAAAAGACTGTCTATTATGCTAACTTAAAAATTGTGTTTTGTTCATTTGCTATTCATATTACACAGAATACACTTAATCAATTGATTGGTCTATTTTAATAGAACACGATGGTTCTATAAGATGAAAGATTTAAGTGCGGACATTCTTAATTCCTGATATGTATTTGGTGGCGCAGTACCTAAGGCATTTGACTGATAACCAGAAGGCTGGCAGTTCAAACCCATGAGCCGCGCTCCCCAGGAGCAAGGTTGGGCAACTTACTTCCATAGTAATATCTCCCCAGAAACCCAAGGAGGAGTCACTATGAGTCAGGACCGACCCTATGGCAGTGAGTTTGGTTTGATTTTTTGGAAGGTAAGGCTAAAGGTGGGTGCCATAGTTAAGGCGTGGAGTTGCTAGCCAAAAGATTGGCAGTTCAAACCCTACAGCCACTCCATGGGAGAAAGATGTCACAGTCTACTTCGGTCAAGATTTACAGTCTTGGAAACCCCACAGGAGCTGCTATGAGTTGGAACCGACTGGATGACAGTGGGTTTGGTTTTGGTTTTGAAAGGGAAGATGAATAAGTACTTTTGGCCACCAGGTGGCAGCTATGAACCACCAGGTTCATGCAGAGGCTATGAACCAGCTTCTAAGACTAAAGCTTTTGCTTCTCAAATCTAAAAACAGCAAATGTAACAAATGGTATTTAAGTATAAAACTGTCAAGATAAAGAACACTATTTTTCAAGCGTAAAGTAAAATATTAATTTTCCTGTAAGGTAACATCAAATTGTCCTTGGACAGTTTTCAGTTTACAGTGACAGGTACTAATACAATGATTTGATTTAATTTCTCTCACTCCTATCTGTGTAGTATGTGAGCTTCTGGTTACGTCCTGAAAAGGTCCTGTCTCTCCACTTGCTCAGGTAAAGATATTTTGGTAAGAGTAAGAGATGCCTACATACAGTGTCTTACAGTCCATATGACTGCTTTATTCTAAAATTGAAAAGCTCCTCATGCTTAAAATTTTGAGCTTGATTTGTGTTATGACTCATTTTTTCTAATTTTCTAGCATCCTCAGAAGAAATAAAAATTATAATGGTCAAAAAAAAAGTATCGAAATTACATAAAGCAGCGAATAGTAAAGTACAATTCTATTGTTCTGCAACAGAGTAAGCAGAACTAATTTTTTCACTCACACAACAATTAGAACAGAAAACCAGTAACATTTTAACCACATAGTTTTCATCTACCTGGTGCTCAGCCCACCTGCCGACCTGATGCTTTCTTCATGTCCACACCTGCACAGCTTCACTTTCTATTTAAAGGTTTTAGTCTCTAAGGTAGACATCTGTCATTGATGGGCCTGCACGACATCCATTCCCCTTTCCTTCTGAAAAATTACCCTGCTCCGTGCCCCTCCTCCATCACCACACTTAGGAACAATGCATTGCTCCGTTTAGGGAATGTCCTTGAAGAAGTATGGGCCCCACCCTTGGCTGCATGCATGTCACTCAGGACTAACCCTGTATCTCTCTGGACACCCAATAACTGATTTAAGGATAAATCAATGATAGAGAAATTCAGAATACTGAGGAATATTTAGAAGTTCTTAGAAATGGAGTGAATAATAACGATAAAGAAATATTTGAATTAGAAGTTCAAAGAGAGGTAAACCAAGTGTACGCACGTACTCAACATAACAACATAACACACGCACTTACCATGGAGTAAGAATGGACACATTGCTCAATATTGTGAAAGAAGTGTTTCCTGTGTATGGTGGCATTTCTTCTATAATTTATATATAGATAACTATTAAAACCTCAAAAATTTTCATTATTAAAGAGAGACTCTGGAATTTAACTGTTGTTGAGTTCACTGGAACCAACTTTCTGAGGACTATTAACAAGTTTGGTCATATTAAAACAAAAAATGATTTGAATAGAATGCGTAGCCAGTACATGAAAGTGCTATTATAAGGGAAAATTTAAAGGGCTATAACAAACTTCACAGGTGTTCTGGTAGCATAGTGCCTAAGGCACTGGACTGCTAACCAGAAGGCTGGAGGTTCAAACCCACCCGTCACTCTACAGAAAGAAATCTACTTCTGTAGTGATACTGCCTGGGAAACCCAAGGAGGGGTCGCTAGGAGTCAGGTCCGACTTGACGACACATAACAATAACAGCAAACTTTACAGAGCAAAAACTAAAACCAAAAACTCAAACTTACTGCCGTTGTGTTGACTGTGACTCATGGTAGTAACTCTCAGATGTTTTCCATAGTTGGTACAACACTATTCATGCCATCTATGAAGGGACTACTAGTTTTTAAAAATATTTTATAGAAAAGCCAGGGCATAATATATAGGAACATGCATATTTACAATTTGTCCATTATGAATGATAAGCTATCACTGAGGAATTTCTGGAAATTACAGAAACCATGGAAGCTTGGGCAAATAATTCTTCAAACCTACAGGTACCCAGTGACTAGAGTGGTTTATAGATACCTGCATTTTATCTTTTGTTTCCAAATTAGAATATGACATTGTTGTGCTGATAGAATATAAAATAACATGCTTACAAAAAATAAACAATCCCTTTGAAAAACATTAAACGTTTCTCATAGAACTTCTTATTGCTCACTAAAAACCTACTTAATTAACCTATTTCCTTAGTTTTTCTTCCAACCTCAAATATTTTAGTCACACTCTTATTCTATGCCTATGCATTGAGTACTAGATGTACAGTTTAAATAAACATTTTTTCTTGCACAAACTGCATACCTGAATGACCAGAAAACTGTGCCTGTTAAATATGATAAAACACTTGGCCTTTAAATGCAGGGAACATTTCATGCTCTGTGCAACTTGGTAGCTGCTTTTAACTTTAAGTTTAAAATTAAATAGAATTAAAGACATACTTCCTTCTCACTAGCCACATCTCAAGTGCTCAATGACCCTAATAGGGCAGTACAGAGAACACTTCTATCATCGTAGAACATTCTACTACACGGTATGTTTTAAAACTCTGTGCTCTCATTTATACAGAGCCCCTAGACACTGAACCAGGTCCCACACTAGGAAAAGCAGACCAAATAAGACTTGTGGCCTGACTCTGTTGAGAAAGTACATTGTTAAACCTCCCGAAGACCTGGGTGAAAGGAGGCACAACAGGAGCCCACAGTCAAAGTTTGCTAGTTTGCCTCTTTAGTGAAGTGTCAACTGATGTTCGCTCTCCTTTTTCAAGTCGAGGTCTTGGTTTGTTTCTATGGATCTGGATGAACTCTTTGCATTAAGAACATTAATCAGATATGACATTAAGTGGCAAATATTTTTCCTAGTTTGTTACTTGCCATTTAAATTTAGTTAAATTTTAAAATAGAAAAATATTTTGTTGTATTTTTAGTGAAAGTATACACAGCAAAAGAGGTTTTCATTCAACAATTTCTACATATTATAATGTTCAGTGATGCCAAAGGTCCACAAGTAAAAAGGCACAGTTCTGATATTACCAAACAACATGGCAGGCCATTGATTCAACTCTATTAGAAGTCCCAAGATCAGCAGAGCATGGCAGGCTGCTGAATGATGACTCAGCTACATGCAGGGTCCAAGTGTGCCAAAGAGCTGGAGACCTTCCTCAAAGCTGCTTCTTATACACTGGAAGCAGACCACATCCCTAAAACAGCTACTTCAGCTGCTCTAGCAGATTCCACCATGGAACTGATTGCCAGTCTCATCATGGGGAACAACTACATCCAGCTGCCCCGCCACTCAACCAGGCCCAGGCAAGCTGACACACAACCCTATCTACCACAGGACCCATTAAAAACAGTGTATGTGGGCAGTTCTGGTTAGGCTTCTCTAAATATCTGTGTCTCTGAGGGAGATCAAAGCTCTGACTTGGGAACGAACATCAGACTGCCCAAGGGCCACAAGGCATGCTTCACTTTTCTGTGATGTGTCCTTTCTACAACATGTCACATCTGGAGCACAGAGGAAGAGCTGTCTTCTAGTCAATATATAACTTTCCTGGACCACACATCTGGCACCCGTCACCCACGTACTGTTTGCTCCCTCATTATTGTGAAGGTCTGGATATGACCTAATCACTAACTATTAGGAAACTCTTTTCTAGTAGGAATGAAAGAAGCATTGAATTGAAGACCTACTGTTTCAAATCAGAAATAACTATCCTGCAATTTCAGAGAGTAAGATAACATGTGTATATGTATTTTTTTTCGCAAGGCAAAGAACTGTATTTAGGTTTGAATTTGTGCAGCCTATGACTGCATAAGCTTGGTAATGTGCAGAAATAAAAATTGGACCGATAGGTACATATTTTAAAAGAAACTAAATACACTAAGAATAGGTATAAAATCCCTTTTCAAAGTTTAAAACAATACAAGTTGTCAGTAACTGTAGTATAAGAACCCTTAGCAGAACCTGTACTTATTTTATACGCCATTTTAGTTTAGGTTTTACTTATTATCCATGACTTAAATATCCCACAGTGAGTTCACTATCATCAGCTTAGTGTTGGGGTAAATTCCAGATCACCTTAAAAAAAAGAAAGTGAGGAAGGAAGAAAACTTGACTTTTCAAGTGATACTATAATGGTGGAAAATTCCAGTGTCACTTAAGTGGATTACTGGAAAGGAATTAAATTAAAACACTAATCTTGATGGCAAGTTCATACAAGTCAACACTGTATTGGTTTCCAATCAAGCACTCACACCTACCTCTGCTCATCATCTGGCCTCTTGATCAAATTGAAAAGTATGTGGAGAAGCTGATCTCTCTCCTTAGGCTCAGGATGCAGACATGCTGTACACAGTATGAGGGGGATCAACTCCTAAAGAAATATGAGGGAGGAAAAATTCAAAGTAAAAATACGTTGCGGAAATTCTTTTCCCCCCCCCAGAGTATTCTTAAATGGAAATTTAAAGTGAAACAAACCTAAAGAACAAATTTTAATTCTGTAAGGTTGATAACTCAAACGAAAACAGTAAGTGTTGACTATAGAGCAGGTACAAATAACAATGTAAAGAAGTTACTCAAGATTCAACTGACCTTGTTTTTTTAAATTAAATCTGGCACCTCCCAACAGCTCACTAGCTTTTATACTAAATAACATTACATGATGTGATAAGGTGATATATTAATTTCAAATTATGTTTTTCCATGCCATCAAGTCGATTCCGGCTCACGACTACCCATGTGTGTCAGAGTAGAACTGTGCTCCACATGGCTTTCCATGGCTGATTGTTTTGAAGGTAGATCACCAGGTCTTTCTTCCAAGGTGCTCTGTAATCTTTGTTAGCAGTGGAGCACATTAACCATTAGCAAGCTCAGGAACCCCCGTAATTTGATTTTTGAAAGTCTTTTTAAAGAAAAACTTGTAGAAGGTCATTATATTTCAAAACATAAAAAATAACAGTAAATAAGGACAACTCTTTCCATTCCCACAAAGTTAATATAAATGTCTCTCCAAAGATTAGATATAATCTAATAGTTTTGTATCCTCAGACCTAGCCCATTGGTTAACTGAAAAGACTGTTTCCACTATCTCCACAGGTATGGAAATGCTCTCAGTACTACTACAGGCTGTCCCTAGAAATATTTTATGTTCAGATGGAAAATTTTAACCATATCTCATTTGTAGTACACTCAACATGCAGAGGTAAGTTCAATATTTTACAGGAACATGATAGTTACAAGTGTATTTCTCTCTTCTAAAGAAATATTTGAAAGTTAATTAAAGTTGCTTCACATATTAGATAACACTCTAAGATAACATTCTTAACACTAAAATATATTTAAAAGACAGTAAATTTTTAACTTTGGAATGGATTTTCAAACTTAAGGAGAATCAAAATCTAACAGCAGCAAAAAAAAAAAAAAAAATTGGAAATAAATCCTCTAAGTTATAACAGCAATATTTTTCAGATATTTCAAAGAAATAACTGATGTGATGAGAAGGAAAGACAGACTAGTACTACTTCTCTTCTCTTCATAATCTACCTCCCTGCACACCAGAAAGTGCTAGCACGTTTAAAATAGGAATTGAGTATGGTATAGTAAGGAATGACACCCTGAAGAAAAGCACAGATGAAAAGTCCACACTGTCAGAGAAATGCCTTCACTTTTTGAAGATGCTGCCTTAGAAACCGATGATATGATTTGTAGGTGAGATGGAAGCTTGAAGGCATGGCTAGAAGTTTCTTCCTATTGTTTCTAAAATCTTTGTATGCTATTTTTAAATGATAATTACCTGGTACACACCTAAAATTTGAAGGTGCAAAGATGTCAATAATAAGAGCTAAGAAAACATTTAGAGAACCAGAAGGAATTAAACACTTTTACTCTGTCCTTTACAACCTTCCTATTTGGATACCTCTTTAGGTTTTAGATTAGTGAATAACTGAAGAGCAAATGAAATAAACAATAAAAGCAGAAAGTAACTGAACAGGAGACCAAACATATATTGTTAAGTACTATTTTCACAAGAGACTTAATGAGATGGTAGGTAGAGATGATTTTATAAGAGAATATCAACATTCTCTCATAAAACGTTAAAACTTTGTTTGCTTTAGGTACTCAATAGTATCAGGCTAGGAGACAGCTAATACTAAGGACAATTGGAATCCTCAGTTGAGTCCCTTTAGTCTAAGGGGCAAAATCCTAAGGACCAACGTTACTAACAAGAGAGCTAAGCCACTGTATCATCAGGGTACCCCACTTGAGGTTGAATGACAAGCTGTTACTCCAGAAGGCACTAACAAAGGGAGAAAATAACCCAATGCATGAAATGCAAGAAAAGTCCTAAAACTGTACTTGTACTTTCCGTCACGTCGGTTCTTTCTCTCTTGGGGGCTTTCTCCCTTCCCTCCTAAGCCCTCTTCTTGTTCTCCTTCTGTCTCCATCACAGAATACACTTCTTACATTATATTCCCCCATTCTCTTCTTCATCTATAGCTCTTAAAAAATAAAATCTTTACCATCTTTCCCTCAAAAACAAGCTACCAAAACAACTGTGGTATGGTTGACTTCTTCATGCTGTTCATATTCTTTTTTTCATCAAAAGAATCAAAAAGGAAGTTTGTGTCATACATTAACAGGGACACTCTCTGAACTGGAATATTGGCTATGAATGTGCCCAACTCAAAGTACTGGCTCAGGAGGTACAAAAGTTGCTGTCTCAGTCATCATCTCAGAACCACAGAACCTGAGCAAAGCCACCAATTTCTCTCATCTTCACCATGCCCACCTGAAACATGGAGAGACTAAGAAGAAAGGAACACATATTTTGCAATTTCCTTGTATACTGCTAACAGAACCATCAGTTTTCCTTTAGAGCTCAAAGTTGGCCTCAAAAATCCTCCTCACAGCACTCCCAGGAGCCATTACCAATCAATAAACTGACACAAGGGAGGAAAACCACTTCTCAGCCTTGTCCCCATTATCTCGTTAAGTGTGTGAATAATTCAGGACTTTCTTCCATCCATTCTTCTTTTAATTTTGGATTTTTGAAGAAAAATACTTTCCACTTTTATTAATCAAGGCTTGGTGGTGTAATGCCTAAGGCATCTGACTGCTAACCAGAAGGCTGGTGGTTCAAACTCACCAGCCACTCCTTAGAAAGAAGATTGGGCAATCTACTTCCGTAGTAACAGGCCTTGGAAATCCAAGGAGGGGTCTCTATGAGGCAAAGTTGAGTTGACGGCAGTGAGTTTTGGAGCAATAATTTATATTACCATTTGCTTTTATTTCTTGCTGACAAAAACAACAACACCCTGGAAGTCACTGCCAATAATTTCTGGTTGGTATTCTATGCCAGGGAGAACTGGGCATGTCCTGGTACATTATGGCTATGGCAATTACAGTGCCGTGTGCAGAACAGCTCCAGATGGTCTCCGCTGATAAACAGCACAGAACTGAGAAGAGGTCCAATAAGTGATGGTGGAAAAAAGTAGAAGCAATCATCTGTTCCTGACAGCTAAAGATTTTAATTGTTAACTTAGGACTGTCCCTACACATCCTAATTCTGCTATTATTTATTTCTTCATAATTTCTTTTTGTACCAGTCTTGAAATCATGATTTCTCTGAGTATATATCAGTTGTTTTATAAATTCACATTTACTGATTGTGGATTCATCTCTTTCAAGTCTCAGGAGCACTAATCAGAATTCCTAAGACTGCATTTACCATTTTCATACTATTATAAGTTTATAGACTTGAGTGAGTATTCTCTATGGAATCATTTCTCCTAAATGAAGAAGTCTAGTCTTTCAAATCTTTGCTTGTAATTTTGAATTCAACGTTTTTATTATTTTCTTCAGAAGACAAAGAGACAGACTTCTAAAAATGTTCTGAAAGAATAAATACAAATATATATATTTTGTATAACAGGATAATGTTAGATATCAATTCTAAAAGTTAAAGAAATTTACACAGGAAAAAATTCTTAAGCATATAAGATTTGCTGTTTAATGTTAATAAATATTACAATAATAAATGACAATGGTGAGAAAATACTTATAGCTTTGGTAAGAATATAACCAAAAGCTCGATATTTTTTTTCCCTAGAAAAAAATTTAAAAGGCAGATGTATCCATATTTCAAAGAACAAGAATTTCATAACATCTGGGACAATATACCACAAATTTGTATTGAGGTGAATTATACAACTGATAGCCTTCTGATCACGAACAAGTAAATTAATGTCACGAACAAAGAAATTCTAACACGAGTTATTCCAACACTTAATCATCATTCTAGAAAGGCTTTTAGAATTCATTAATCTAAGGCGCTTCAAATGGAAGTTGGCACTCTACCCAAGTAAATGCCTTTTGCTTAAACTTATTTTGACTTTCCAATTTTAATAACAAAGTTAGATCTCTCTATAAGAAGGAACTTCTGCCCTCCAAAACCTAAGCTACCCAGGGAATTTTGCACAAAATCCAATAGAAAAGGCTTCTAGCATTTCAGGGATCCTATTGCTTTTACAAGTAAAACAAAAATGATTTCTAATGATAGTAAAGGAATGTTTTCAGAGATCCTAAATCTCCTTATTAGAGATTTTTACATTTTATTAACACTTTAACTTAATTTTCTTACTGTTATAACAAACTTTTGAAATATTTCATTTTTCTAAGAGTTTCTCACTTGAGAATTCTAAGTCTTGAAGAAAAATCAATGAGATTAGGATGTTCTATAAATCGGAAGGAAGGTTAGGCAATCCACTTCCGTAGTGATACTGCCTCGGAAACCCAAGGAGGGGTCACTATGAATCAGATCCGACTCTACAGCAGTGCATGCATTTTTCTGATCTATAAAAGCCGGCAAAAAAGCATCTGAAACAGTGGGAGTTATTAGATGCTGGGGGATGGGAGGGAGAAATGAAGTAGGAAATGAGATCAGAGAAATTTTAACATTAAAAAAAAATAGAAATGTTAGTAAGATAGTGCCTCCAAGATTTGAAGGAAATTTAAAACCTAAAAGGAAGAAGCATTACCTTTTTATAAGATGCCAAGATACAAGACTCAGAGTAAAAGTACAAAACTACTGTCCCAGAAAGGCAACACAGTACGCTGCTGGTGTTAGGTGCTGCTGAGTCGGTTTTGACTCACAGTGGCCTTATTTATGTCCAACAGAACAAAACCCTGCCCAGCCTGTGCCATCCTCACCATCGTCGCTATGCTTGATCCCATGATCACAGCCACTGTGTCAGACCATCTCCTTGAGGGTTTTTCCCCTTTTCTTGCTGACTCTCTACTTTACCAAACATGATATCCTTTCTCCAGGAACTGGTCCTCTCTCTGACAACATGACCAAAGTACAAGAGATGAAGT